TTTTTTCTACTTTTTGCAGAATATAAAATATGAAAGGATAAATTGAAGTAAGTAGCACTGATAGCTTATTTAGGAGAATTACAGATCCAATGAAGTGATCTCCCATTCATAATGGCTAATGTCAACTTATTGATTTCCAGTGAAATTTTTCGTTATAAAGTGTGTTATAAAGAAAATTAAATCGGAATATTCAGAACGCGGTTTGTAAACACAGAAATAAATCTTCACGTCGCATACAACGTAGAAACCAATAAGTTATATGATACAAAATCGTTTATATCTTAGAAACAGTTAAGTTTTCCATCTATGTTTACTCAATACAGTGTATATTATCTATCATATAAACGATGTTTTTTTTCACACCCTGTACATAAAATAAAGTATTTTATATATCAATCTTAATACTGTTAACATATTATTCGAGTAGAATACAGCACAATAAAATAATTAGGAATTAAATCTATTTTATAAATAAAATTACAAGCATAATAAACGAATAAATCAACAAGTTTGCAAACTTACGCTTGCAAACCATTAAAAGTGACATCTGGCTTATATCTGGCTTTCAGTATCAGCAAAGCTTTGTTGTTTGATAGCAGTAGCATTAATCGCCGCGTAATTTCAGTCTACCGAGCTCGGCGACAGCATTGTACACAATCGGATACTGTAGTCAGCGTTTTATTCGTTGACGGCTGTCTTGATTCAAAGACTCCAGTCTCAAACATGAATGCTAAAGCAAGCAAAGACTTGCGCCCAGCTTGGTAGCTCGGTTGAATTAACAATAAGCAAGCAGCCTGAGGGACTTGCCGTGTTTGACTTCGAGTGTCCTACCTTATGACGTTTGCTAAAATCTTGCAATTTACGTCCACGTACTATTTCTTTGACAATCTGTCGAGCTCTCCTTTTTCCATTTACCAAGAACTCAAAGCTTATGTGACACGTGAAATATGAATGTGCCCTAAGTAATCGTGAACGCAAATATTCATGATGGATGCGTATGAATTGTTTATCATACATAGAAGTGCCGTAAAAGCTTTTTTAAATATTCTATGCTTAAACAAACGCAATATTTTAATTATTACTACGCAGCACACGCGACAATTTAAAATACAATTTAAAATATATCCTGGGTCTCTCTGCTTCAATCGTCACTTGATGCAATGAACATAAACCTCTCTGACAATATCATACGTGCCATCTCGTTTATGGAGTCAGCACGATATCCGTAACGGTGAATCGATGTTTCGGAATCGCGACACGGCGACCTCATAAAATTTCGCTATTGCAATTCGGACGTGAAAATCCTTTGATTTTAAAGTGGCAGTTCACATTCGTAAAAATAACACACGTATGGCGAAACGTTATGACATTTTAAAAAAATATCATTTCTTCCAATTATACTTCAATAAAAAATTGGTTTTTTTTTATTGCAAAGAGCCTTGACGACTGATCAAGATGATATTATAAATATTATAATTTAACGTGATAATTACTCAAACAGATAGGTAGATTTATTATTAATTCAAAATTTGCTTTGTCATTGTCAATAACTGATTCTTTGATAAATGACACTTGTCTCAAATTTTATACACATTATTTTACACTCTAGAATTTTAATATGCTATAAATTAGAATGTTAAAATTCTCAAGTATAAAGAAAGGATATTAAAATTCTCAAGTGTAAAGTAAGGATATTAAAATTCTAAAGTGTAGGAAATTTTCTAATACCTATTTCTAACTAAATCTGTTAATAATACGCTTTACCACTAGGATACTGTACACTATTGTGTACAACAATGCAAAGCTCTAGATGTAACAATTTTAATATTTGATATAAAAAAATACTTCTGCGATTTTAGTTTCGTAATTAAACTGAGAAGTTAAAATGGATTATACGGAAAAGAAAACCGCGCGTCTATAAAAAGTTTTTATGGCACGATAAAAACATATATCTTCAGTGCATCGAAAAGCGGCAGCTTTTGTCACATATCGCTAGGGCGAAATAGGATTCGTTACGCGTCGAAAATCCGTTTTATTGGAAAGATTCAATAAAAACGCGAATGAAGCTCGATTTTTTAAAAATCTGTGCAAATAAATCTCGAAATTCTGAAAACCATGTAACTTTTTTTTGCTCGTCATACGTGATAAAACATTCGAAAAGTCAGGAAAAATTGCCTTCGGTGACATATAAAGCGAGAAGAATGATATAGTCTTGACAAAAGTAGGATATATATATATATATATGACGTTGCATGACATAAATTCAATATAATTAGAAATTTTTCACAAAAATGGAAATGGAGTAATTCAACCGCAATGCAACTGACATAGTTATAGCAGAAAAAGAAGAATAGCTTTAGGAATGAAATATAACTTTGGTGAAAAATATATTTTCTTTTAATTAACTTTTATGTCAGAAACTGTGAAGAACAATGTAAGTTATTATTATTTTATTCCAAATTAATCTAGTAAAAATTACAGCAAAAAAATGACAAAATGTTACTCTGTTTCTATGACGTATTATTGTTAGATAACCTTTATTCAATGAATTCTCTTTTATTTAAGCATTCACGACAACACGTTCTTTTTAAAACTGCACGCAAATGAAATATAATTGATTATTGCAATATATTATCAGCATAGAAACAAAAAAGGGAACAAATTTACAAATTTGATAAAAGAAAATAAATTGCAAATGTAGTAAATATGATTACTTAATTAGTTCGCAAATATACATTCAGTTTTCACTCGTATACGAGAATACAGTCATTATGCGTCGATGCAATTACATATTCCTATCAGCAGGGCTTTTGGGAAAGATAATGAGAATCTTCCATTTCCGCATGAGATACGTTAGATATAGTAGTTTTACAAGGCAATTTGCGAGAAGACAAATCAATTTTACAAAATTCTATTCTTTGTTGCATTGTTTAAAAAAAACATTGTTTAACAAAGTAATAGAATTTTTATTTCAAGAGATCTTTTTTTTTTTAAGTCTATTTTTATCAAGTGCAATGCATTATTCTTTCAATGATGAAATTTTTATTAACATTGCAATATTAAGATTAAAACTCTGTACTATCTCGCGTGATTCGTATGAAAGGAAACTCCGATACGGCATGTCAACACGTTCCCGAGAGAACATACGTGTTCCGACGTATTCTCATTACATATTACAACTGCATATGTTCCATATGTGCACTGTATACTCCTTCCGCACCGGAGGTGCTTTCGTCGCAATTTCCTCGTCGCATAGCTAAATGGTTCTAACGTGTTCAGTCTGACGCCAGTCATTTACGAATGTCCCAACTGCTATAGAACAATGACGGAAACATATAGGACTTAATGAAGATTGAGGAAGCTATTCAAGATTTTCTCAAAGCGACTGCATGGAAAGCGCCATGTACGCCATAATAATACAATATTTTAAATGGCACCCTTGAAATTATTTTTTTATCTAAAAATGCACGATGAAAGCATAAAATAATATCTAATGATAACAATATATCGCAACATTCGAATCATGATGATGAAAAATTTCCTAAAAATAAAAAGAAAGATATATATATGTGTCTTCAATAAATATATTTTATATTTATTGATAAAACTGTATGTATGATATATGCAAATTTTTGAAAACAAAGGTATAATATTTTACATTCTCAATATGATACTTCTTTGTTAGTATATTCTGATGCTCGCGGGTATGGTTTCATTTCTAAAAAACATTGCATACAAAGATATTATAGTATATGTATTATTTATATTATAGATTTTTGAATACGATACAGATACAAGAATAGGCCCCATGGTTTAATTTAATACACCGAGTGTCACCTGGTAATCGAGATACGAAACCGCAAGATGCTTATCGACTGCAAGTATGCTATATACGATTTTTCAATCTAAATTGTCTTGTAAACTCACACTTCTGCAAATAATTACGCTGAAACTATTATTTTTGCAAAATAGATATTTTATTTATTTACTTGTCGCTGGGTATAAGGAATTTTTTATGCGAAAAGTATTCGCGAATAAGAAGAAATTACTTAGAACTTACTATAATAATTACAATATTTATTATCACAAACTATGAATTAGATCGTACACAGTAATGTAAGAAAAACCGTTTGACAATAATTCATTCCAGTCCCCCTCCGTCGCGTGGTAAAATCGCAATCGATGCAATACGATATCGCAATATGAATATCTATTAACATTAATACATTATAGATATTCATAACACTAAATCTTTACTGCGTAAAAAATTCGACTTCGCAAAGAGGATCGAAACAATCTTTTGGGAATAATGATTTACAATATGAGATTTTCCCTCAGGCCTCTCCATCGCTTATTTATTATTATACACGATACGTCGTCTGAAAATTTCACGAAGAAGGCACCCTTTGACAGTGAAAATTATACACTTAAAAATAGATAAAAATTATATTGTTTTTATAGAACTACTATATACACTCACAAACTAATGAAATTGTAGATGCTATAAAATCTATATCTCGTGCTATCCTTTTTTCTCTTACAATTAGTTCATTTATCGTTTCACGCTTTATAAGTGCTCATGATCTTCAGCTTTGTGATCTTCGAAAAATTCCGTCGTAAAATATATTTTTGTTTTGTATTTTTAAAATATATAAAAAAACCTATATATATTTATATAGTTGTAATTACACATATAATTATATAGTTAAAACTACATAATTATAGAGCATTTATATATACTTTTCATTAATATATACATAAACAATTATATACAATTATATGCATATATGTAACATTATTAATACATATAATTGTATAATTATTTATATAAATTTATGTGTGTTTTGTGATAATTTGGAACAATAAAACTACAGTTCGTACGTGGCTTTCACTTTCAAAAAACGTATATGCTTTGGAATGTGACAATAATAATGCAAATGATTCCAAGATGCATTTTCGAACGATGTAAGCTGAAGCATAAATAATTTATAAGTATTCCCCTCTCTTTCTCTCTTTTTCTTTCTTTGTTAACTGATCGAACAGTCTACCGAACTGTAGCATAAGTCCATCAAATTTCATCACGCTAGATCGAAATTTTCAATTTATTTTCTATTCTTTCTCTTTCTTTTCTTTCCTTTTTTAAAACGTTGCTGTCTTCTCACCGTGAATATTTACGTATATATAAAACAATTACTTCAATTTGTCTAACGATAAAAAAAAAGAAAACGAATTCTCAAACAATAACAAGGTATACCACGTGCTGCTAAGAATCACATAAATGCTCGGCGTTGCCGGTCGTCGTCGTGTCTCGATATTACGATCATTTTCTTCCGACATTGCGAGAAACCGTGAATCTGGAGAACCGCATTCTCCAAAGAGTTGGAATCCGTTAGAATATCGGTTTTCGTGTCCGTAATTTGTATCATCGGTCGTGTTTCAAAGCATGGTTTAATACCGGTGTCATTTCGCCGAGTACGATTTCCAACGTCATTGGTATGCGAGAAAGGATCTTGTATCGAACGTCACACTTCCATCTATTCATGAATAAACATAAGACTAATAATTCTGTACGGGTTTGATATCTAAATAAGCTCAACGAAATTGTACCGATTGTTAACCATTGTTTTGAAGACGTGTCGCAAACGATACGGTTCACAATGTCTCCAAAAACCTTCTCTGTTTGATACAATCGTAAGGAGCGGTCTTTCCATTTGTAAGAATGAATTTATATGTACATGTTTGTTGTTATACCGAATTATGTCGAATCGTGATAGCGATTATTCGTAAATTCGTCATAAGTAAATAGAAAGTAGTTTTACAATTTCCAGCGGAATAGATTTTTTTCTAAGCTAATTTTAATTATTGTCAATTATAAGCAATTTGTTTCGTATATCGTTAAAATACTTATATATATATATATACGATAAATCTTCGTATATAATAAAATCATTTTAATACCACGATATGTTCTTTCAATATATGATCGCTTGTCAATTAATCGATTCCGCGTGGAATTCGTTGCATGAGAAAAGCGATTTTTCGTGTTGACGCGATTGAGTGCAAACCTGACGAGCAACGGGTCATCGTGAGTAGACATTCTGCATCGCATTTTGCAGATTTACTCGACATGTTCGACTACAATTAATAGGAAATTTACTCGACAGTTTCGCATTGACTGTGACTGGATCTCCATCGACACTTCATCACATGTGAATAGTCGCGGCTGTGTAACGGGCTTCGCCTCTTCGCCAGCTCCATTGGCTCGGACGATACTGAAAGATCAATTCCGTGATAAACGAGATCAGTGAACGTAAAATTAACATCCGGTATTAAGAAACCAATGAATAGGCGAAAAATCTACATTTAATAGTCAATTTAAACGAAAAATATGTAATTAATCAATATTTCAGTGATTATATAGTATATTATATATATATAAAATTAGATAAATAAATAATCAATATTTAATTTTCAATAAGTAATAATTAAGAATCAATAAGAGGCAATAAGCAATAAATAATATTTTAATTAATAATATAAATGCAATCGATGGTAGTGAAAAAGAATTAAAAGCAGAGAGAAAAATCGATAATTACTCATTTACATAATGCTACTATAATTTTATAATTTAAAGAAACTCTTCTTACCCTTATTAGCATTTGTCCCGATGCGCTGTGAGGGTTACGATAAGCGTATACGCCCCAACCTGCGAGACCTATCACTAAAGCGATAACTGTGAGAATACCGATTATCCCTGAAACGCCCATATTCACCTTGTTCGAATCTAAAAAATATACAGAATAAATTGCTTAATATGACAAATCTAATTATCTTGGATTTCAAGAGAAAAGAGAAATTATTCGTGCAAATAATACAAAATCGTTTGTTTCGATTCCGCGAATCGATTGTTTCGATTAACGATTAAATTTCGAACTAAAATATCGTGGAAATTATGCGAATTAATTTCAGCCGGTTTTAAGACTACATTAACAAATTGCATTTTCTGTATGAAATTTGAAGCTATCTTGTATCACGTACGAATCTACATGTATAATCTATGTATAAGTTTGTCAAATTCGATTAATGACTCAATACCGTCAAAAACGTACTAAACAAAAGTACTTACTAGGACTTTCCAAAGTATTGCCAGACCATTCTTTTTTTACGCCCATCTCATTGGTGGCGATCGACTCTTCTGGATGCACGTGGCCATCATGGTCGTATTGATCACCCCTGTAGGTTGTAATTTGCGCTGGACAATTGTTTATCTCCTTGATATTATGGACGTCGCAACCCTTTGACAACCACTCTTGCCGCTGTCGGGACGTGCCGGTGCTGCATTTGTTCAGCTCCGAGCACCACTTACAATCGAAGTCAGGTACCTTTGTCAGGCAATCCATGCAGTTGTCGGAATTGAGGCATGTAGGTAATGCTTTCAAGTAAATGACCGTGCAGTTCATTATATCCTGCCGATTGAAGTTGACACGGTGATACTCGTAAATGGTTTTCCGGCGTACGACTGCAAAGCGAGATTAGCGGATTGAATTTTCGGAGTGTATCTTTAGATACTTAATTTGTTAAAACAATAAACATAATTCGCGATATGTCTATTTAAATCATTTCAAAAATTTATATCTGGATTTTAATGTAAATTCGAGGATACTCCTTGATATCTACAAATTAAATAATTAATGAATAGAAATAATATCTTGCGCGATAATTTCACATCTTACATTGCAAATTTCTGAGTTTTTATCACGGAAATGATGATTATGCAAGTTTGTTATCATAGAAAGTTGCAAGAGATACACTACTTTATATAGAATTTCTGATCACTTCTATGATATCAAGTTAGATTGATTATAAGTCCAGTTAACACTATCCTTTATCTATATAGAAGTTTTTCTACATCGGATGATCAATAGTGATAAGATATTATTCCATGATGCAATCATGTATCCAAAAATAAACGGAAAAATTAGATAATAAGCAAGAAAACACTTACAGAACACAGTTCGGTCCATGATGTAGGCATCGCTGAGGCCTACTTTGACGGGATGCATTGTGTCCGCGATTTTTTCAACCAGGACCGGTATCACTGAGTAGACGAACACGATGTCTCCGTTTTGATGCAAGGTCACTTGGAAAGTGAACGCGCCGGCTTTTGGCCTGTCCTGTAGCACAACCTTCTCCCATTCTACCGTAAACGCCGTACCTGTCGTACAAATGAAAAAGAGGATTTAACAATCTCGCGTTGAGATCCATGCACGACTCCGACTACGTTTTGTGCCACATTTCTTTGCCACTGGTTGTTTGATGAGGCGTGTAATTACGATCGGCAAATCGTTGCGCCGATTTATCCTTCCTCTCTCACTCTCCGTTTCCCACAAAGGTTGCTGATCACTACTGACGCGAACGCTTTGCGACACGATCAAGCCAGCGAGGAGAAAGGATTCAGAAAATCAGCTTGGAAGGACTTGAGAAGACTATCGAACGTTTTGAAAAGCATGCGAAATTATGAGAGAATTCGCTTATCGTAATAGGATTTTTTTTTTAATTTTTAAATGTAGATTATTTGAAATATATTAGCCACGGTAAACACGCGAAGAATCTCTTAAGTGGCTTGACCGTAATGGGTTCTGATTGGCAATGATTGACTTTCTTTCGGAGGGAAATGTAAGAACGAACATCCTTCAGGTGGCATGAAAATGCCATTCGAGATTCCGATGACTCACCATTGTCAGCGTACTTGACGTAACTGGCGTTCGACAGGCGGGTATCGAAATTTGCCATGAGCGGTGCAATGTACTGGGTGGCGGCCAGCCAACTGTGTACGTAGTCACCGGTGTATAGAAAACCTCCCGTAGCGATAGTAATATTGCGTACATTATAGCCGTAGAATGGGAAATCAAACTTCAACTTAACGGTCTGTAACAGCATAGAAATCATAGTTCAATTCCTATCCAGACTTATAAGGTTTAATGATTAACCGTTCTCGTGTTTCTTACGTATAAGTTCACGGAAAGAACGAATTTGCATTAGATAGATACATATCAAAAAGCAATTTCATGAATCATCAAAGTAATTGTATAAAAAATTCAAAAATAATGCAATGCTGCAAAAAGCTTTAACATTCTAGCAATTCACTTCTACATAATTATTTTGCTAGTTCAACAAAATTTATTTTTAGACTTGTATCTAATCTAGCTAAGTCTTAGATACATATTTCAGCAAAAACATTTTTCTCTTGTTTTAAATAATCTTTTGCTATAATAGGGATCGAATATTCCGAATGTATATATATTTGTATTTGTGTATCAATCGTCTTTTTCTTTGATTATTATATAAAATCTAAAAGGATCGAGTACATAGTACATAGTACATTCTATATCATTTTCAATTTTTTACAAGAAACTCGCTATAATACAAAATAATGATAAGTGAGTCTCACCGCGGCTCGTCGATGACTCTGGCTAAGTAGATGATTGACTCTAAGATCCGGATGATTGTCCATGTCGACCCAGTATTTTTTGCAGATATCGGTATCGACGATAAAAGTGCTGTTATAATACTGATGCGAGTCGTACATCGTTTTAGTGATGTTGTTCTGTGTAAGCGTGGCGTTAGTCACATCGGAGAATTTGTTAAAGGAAATATCGCTGTCGTCGGATTTCATGACCTCTTCTGTTGTGTCCTTCACCGCCGATGATTCCGGCTGCTGCTCCTTGCTGGTACCGGTTATATTGCGATTTGCCAGAGTGCGATTTGTCCATATGTGTAGTGTCGCCTGCGAACAGGTTTCAAATGGATGCATAATTGTTAAACAGTGGCGATTATACGTGATTGGCAACTTTTCGCATTACGTGCGAATCTAAACATAAGAATGACTGAATAATTGTGTCCATTACTGACACCTACCGTATCAGTTGCAGGATTTACTGTCTGCGACGTCTTCTTCTTTGAATCCGGCTTGGAGCTGGAAATATCGGGTGGCCGAACAGTGGAGGTGATGGTGGTGGCTTCGCTGGTCGAATAAACTGTGGAATACGTTACGTCGGCGGATGCGTTGGTTGTGTTTGACGTCGGTTGTGTTGCTGACGCTTGTTGCGGCTGCTGCTGCTGCTGTGGTTGCTGTTGCTGCTGCGGTTGCTGCTGCTTCGGTTGCTCCTGTTGTTGCTGTGATTGCTGCTGCTGCTGTGGTTGCGGCTGTGCTGGTGGTTGATTCTTAGATATTTCTTTCTCAGTCGTCATCACCGATTTTTCAGGCGTCTCCCGACGTACTCTCTCTATATTCTTACCGTCGATCAGTCTGATATTCGAAATGTAATGATCGAATGACGACTTGCCATTCCATCCGGCATAACTGTAGTAAGAGTTGTCTGAAATAGAGGAGAAAGCGTATTCTAGTTATGACGTCGAAATCTTGAAGAGTATTGAAAAGAAATATTTTTTAATGCTGGAATGTATGAATATTACTATTATACTCCAACAACTACAATACTATTTTTATCTTAATCTTTCCTCGTCTTTCTGAAAAAGATATTACAATAAAAAAATTACATCAACAAAAATTTAATTTGAAATTTGCAGAACAAATTTTAAATAATCTCAAGAATTTTTTTAGAAAATAAATAAATTCGGTGACATCACGAAAGAAAATAGATTTAGAATCGATCTTTAATTGAAGTAATTTATATTATATGGGTCAAATTTTTAGAGACAATATTTTTTAATTTACAGTACAAACTACATAGTACAAACTTATAATCCATTCGTATCTTAAGCGGAGAGAGATACGTTCTATACATATCTTTCACAAACGAAAGAACTTGTCTCAATTTATCCTTGAGCTAGCGTTGCAATTACGATACTACGACTGATTATTATAATAATGACTAGGACCAATCTATGACACGTACATGACATAAATCTCTGACATATGACTGTGTTGCATTCGTGCATTGTCTCCGGTTCACACAGGCTCACCGAGAGTGATTCCCTTCGAGGGGATCGGGTGTCCATTTAACCGATGCGTCAACGTCAAGCCCATCGCCGGTGTCCGAGATCAGTGCCATGAAACGCGGATTAACCTCGATTTCTACGTTCGCGATAGCCGCGGCAGGATTAATGGACAGTTCGGGGGCAAAAGTGGCACGAGACAAACTTTTCACAATTCATTCACACTAAATTCGTTATCAGGATCTTTCGCTGGAACGAGCAATTTACTATCATGCGTGTATTTTTCAATCATACTTTTTGTGCTTTTTTAGCATATTCCGGTTACTCTGGAGTTACAATTTATCGACAAAACGATATGGATCCCAAATTATCTTTTCATACAACATGAGTCATCATAACATCAAAATGATATGATTATTAAAAATAAATTTTTAACCATTACGATTCATTTTAATGTCATTTTGATATCGCAACTTGTTATTGCTATTTCATACAAAATTTTCTTTTCGAAAAATCAGAAAATATGAAGAAATTTTATTTTATATTTTTATTTTATTTTTTTATAGAACCTATTTTTCTGATTGTATCGTCTATATTACGATCACAGTGCAAAACATATTTAAATGATAAAAGTTGTAAACAATTCTTTTAGTAGATAGATATTAATAAATATGACCATTCCGTATCATAAAAGAACGTGTTTAGAATCGTCGACGGAGAGAAACGGGAAGTTAGGCGGTACGATCGACCGGATAGAGCAATAATTGACGATCCAACAAATCGGAGCGAACGTGCAAGCTTGACGTCAATGTAAAAGCGTAAACCAATTAACTCAACAGCTTATTATCTTGAAAAACTTTTTCCCTCATCGTTGCGAAATTATCTCTCTTTAATATAAATAAACTCTCTAATATCCCATTTTTCCCCTCAGGAGATTTGAATTCTGTTCCATATAATTTACATCACATGATTTACATTTCAAAATAACTTTTTGTCCTACATATTTTTTCCTGAAAAATTATCGAAAGCATATAAGAAAAACTATTACCTGAAGTTTATGTAATACATCAGTTTGAATAACAATCTGCTTATTACCGACTAAATAAAAATAGAATAATTGTCAACTCATAAATTAGTTCTGTTGAAAAACTGCAATCAAAGCGAGCTCAGAGAACTTTCACCAGAACAGATCAATGCTCAGGTACGAACGAGTTTCATTAACTGCACACTAGTGAATTGACTCGATTTCTTAGCAGCAGCGGCGAATTGTGCAAATCGTAAACACAAATGAATTGGGCAAAGCTACGTCATGTAAAGGTACGTCGAAATTGTGGAAAGGTTTCCTCGAATCCAAATCGAGATCTGCACAAATGCGTTTTCTACCCACGCGAATTGCTAAGTTGCACATCGCGAATTTTCGCGTTTTCGCGTATATTACGTCATTGCGATTCGATGCGGTCGTGACAACCGCTATTTGCAAAGTAGCCGTAATCATTCTAATTGTATAATCGCTATCTCAGCTACATAATCCACAAATCGTAATGTAAATTTATGAGACCCGCGCGACCGACTTACATCTTTCACAGAATTAATATTCATAACCCTGACTGTTTTAGAGTGATATCGATAATAGGTATGACATGCATGAACAGCGTGTAAAACTTTCGCGTGAATATAATATGCATGTAGAAAGGTACTCCCTGAACAAATTAAATTGGACAGAAGCGGAGAGCAAAGCAATCGAGCGCATAAAACGCTTACGTATGTGTGCCTCCCACGTTATTGCTTTAACTTTATTTGCTGCAATTATTGAGAGACTGCGGGTCACGAAGAGAATTGCGAGATACGCCATGAGTTACGACATGCGCCAGAAATATTTGTCTTAGGCCATAACGTTCAATTTCGCTCGTTTCACGCGAATATGTTTCCTGTTCTTTTGTCCGAGGTGCATTTTCATGCCGACGATATTCCGCGTAAAGATAAGATATGGCGTGTCAGACGTGCAGCCTTGGATGAAAACGTGCAGTAGTGAATATTAAAATTGAAATGGCACTATCGGTGAATGTCAATGCAGAGTTATATTTACATCGCGCATTTTAGCATAGCTGAAAGATAATTTCTTACGTCGTAACGACCTAACGACAACGAGTAAAGAGAATCCATTTGTGTACTAGACGTGTAAAATTCGGTCGCAACACTTGAAGTCGAAAGCTTGACATTAATTAGCTCGAGTGATAATACTCGTATAAGAAATACAAGCGACAGGACGACGACGATCAGCACAGCCACGTTAATTATACACATCGTAGTGCAGTGCACTGTATATTTGCGCGATATCCACTCATTAGACGTCCGACGCGACGTATGCGAGATATTAAAAGATAATTTTGTGTATATTTATCCATTGCTGATTAAAACGCATGTAGCTTCGCCAAGGTAACTCGAGAACGCCTTGGCGTCTCGATGCCTCCGTATATATGCGACATATTTTTAGACGCAAGTAAAAGGATGCTTCCACATTGCGATTCTTTTTACGCCTTAAATAAGCGAATAAATGACGTGTGGAATTATTTAGCGATGTGAATAAAAAAAATCGAGATAAAGTTAACAATGGATAAGAAAAGTAAGTAGGGAACTTAATATAAACAAATATTTTTCCACGAGGCTCTTCTGTAATACTTCACAGAATCCATTCCTTTAATTAAAAGTGTTTTTTTAATTGGATTGGCGCAAAATTGTGTGGCAGACATGTGCCAACGGTAACAGTCGTCATAAAATGATTGAAAACGATGACAATTATTTTTATCCTGGAGGAATAACAGTATTATATTTATCCGCCGGTTTCTACCGTCACATTAACCTGATTATTTTAATTATCATATAAATGTACTTATACATATCAGCTTATATATATCAGCTACACTGACTTTATGAATCTCAAAGACACTTCTTTATCACATTTCTCAATGAAAAAGAAAAAAATAATTATTGATAATTAAAAGCAAAATAAAAAGTTTGGCTGAGAAAATTTATTTGTATAATATCACACAACTGTAGTGAAAAATTTTAAGCAGCTTTAAAGAATTATTAATTCCTAGCTTACATATGGAAGGATTAATAGTTTGAAAAATAAACATAAACATGCGAAACAATGGATATCTTTTTTCCACGATATTGTTTGACGATTCTGTAATGAATTGCAGATTGAATTAATTGCAGACTGAATATGGAATATGACTTTCATTAGATCAAATAGACGCGCGCATAACAAAAATTCAATAAGCATAGCAAGCCCTTCTCCCCAAAGAATTCGTTCACAATTTCGCAGGCAAGCACATACATTCATGTCCTCGTTCTAAATCTTTTTAAGGAGATTCGACGACGAAACCTTGAATTTATTCACGATGATTAATCGATTTTAACGCAACAAGGAATAAGTCATCCGATATTCACGAAGCTTATCAATTTTAATTTTAAAAGCAATTGACACACGCAATAAATAAACTACTGAAAGTTTCTGAACATTTCTTCCCCTCAAAAAAATAAATATAGTACATGAATTCTTTTAAATATTTAATTCTGTGCAAAGCGTAATAATGATTTATATAAAAATTTCCTCATTTAACATGTTCCTTTCAACTTTCTGCATGTATATATAAATAATCGAACATTAATGAAGCTGGGATATCGCGATATTGTGATGTAAATACCTTGCAGACTTACTTGCATTGATCATTTCTCATGGCATACTTTGTTTGTTGAGCCAGTAATAGGATGTGCGTGAAAGGTTTTTCATGTACGTTCGATAATAGGGCGTGCCATTAATCCCATTACGATCATACCTTTTCCGCTTCCTTTCATATTTTACTGCGATCCGCGATATCGGGACGGAAACGACACGACAATCAATGTCAATGTTACGCACGCTGCCATCAAGCCACCCACATCAGAGGACATTCATTTCTTCCTTCCTTTCCGAGCAAAATATATGGATAACGCCATTATATAATAAAAGTGTTTTTAGATTTTTGATTGAAGTTTTAGTTTCTGAAGTTTAAGTTTTTCTTTTTAATCTGAAATTTGTTGATGCCAAAACTTCATATAAAGCTAAGTGATAATGGATCGTCGCAAATTGGCAATGACACGAATATACGCAATGACTTTCACACGTCAAGGGATCAAGCGGTCTGTTTTATATTTTTATACACTGTCGTAGTAATGCTATTGTGTCACTTAATAAACCATCATATTAAAAAAAATACCGTCATGTTATATATAATAAAAATGTGTCTAAATTTATTGCGTTATTTATTCTTATACAATTTATCAACTTTCAAAAATAATGCAAATACACTTATTTATTACATTACATTAGACGTTTTAAATTATACATATGTAAAATTAATTATGTATTATATAT